GCAGGGCAAGCAGCAGAATTTCCCCTCCAATGGACCGTCATCCAGGATTCAGGAAGTGAGGGAACAAGAGCGGCAGTAGTTTGTTGCCACAGCAGATGGTTGCCAGTTGTGCTAGCAAAGTCAAGAGACATGGTCACAATTGCAGTCGAGGCTATGGGACTGAGTGTCCTGGTCACGAATGTTTACATTCCACCTACAGTAGACGTTTCTCCCACATTAGATGCCTTGCAGAATATCCTTACGTCCTACCCGCATGCACACCATGTATTGGCAGGAGATTTTAACTCTCATGCGGAGGACTTCGGATATCCGACCACAGACCCAAGAGGTAGAGAAGTTGTGGACTTCATTGCATGCAACGGACTCATTCTTCATAACGTGCCGGACAGTCTGCCGACCTTCGAGACCCAAATGGGAAAAGGATGGCCCGACATCACTCTGTCAACAGCGCGTCTGGCTCAGAAAATACAGCACTGGACCGTAAGTGACACTCCCTCAAACTCGGACCATCGCTATATAACGTTCCAGATAGGTCAGCCACATGCGCAGTTTATGAACAAGCGTTATAGAACCAATGGCAGAAAATTAAAACAACTTGTAAGCAGGCTAGGACCAGTACTAGAGCAGGTGGACGAGGCACTTATGAAATGTCAGAACATAAAGGATGCTGACGACTTAACCACCAGTATGATACGAGATATTCAATCTATCTGTGATGCCACCCTAGGCCTGAAATCACCAAAAGTTTTAAGAGTGGCAAACTGGTGGACGAAAGAGCTCCGTGCACAGCGCAGTCGCACCAGGGCATTTAGGCGTAAGATGAAGAGCGAAAGAGACCCAGACAGGAGGCAAGCCCTTAGTGTTCTTTATAAATAAAGAGCAAGCTCAGTACAAAAGGGCAATTACAGCCGCAAAACTTGCCAGCTGGAGGGAGTTCTGTACTAAGAATGTAGAAGTCTATGGTGCTCTCCACAAGATAGCTTCGAACAAAGTTTACAGACCACCGGAGCTAAGAGCCTTTGCAGGGCAGCAGGCTGGACACATAACAGAAATCACGCTCAGGACAATTCTTGACGCCGTACTTCCGGAAGAGGATATTACAGATCCGTCCGACCACCAGGCTTATACGCTGCACACATCTGTCCCAGATGATATGCCATTTACGGAGAAGGAAGTCTCCGCAACGATCAAAATTCTCCCGAAAAGTAAAGCCCCTGGTCCGGACTCAATAGACTATCCAATCTTGAGAGCAATACATAAAGCAAGATCGGGGCTTTCTCACGCGTTATTTTAACAAACTGCAAAGCTTTCCGGAACCTTACAAAACAGGGCAGGTTGTGCTCTTTAAGAAAGAAGGGAAGGATCCAAACAGCCCATCCTCTTTTAGGCCGATTTGTCTTCTCCCGGTAATAGGGAAACTCTATGAGAAGCTCCTAGTCCAGCGGCTTAAATTTCATATGACGCAGAGTGGGGCAATCTCTGACGCACAATATGGATTCAGAGAGCTACGCTCAACGATTGCTGCCCTATCAAAGATAAGAGACTATATCAGCCACTTGCATGAAAGGAAACAGCATGCAGCGGTCCTAAGTCTGGACCTGCAAAGCGCATTTGACTCTCTGTGGTGGCCCTCAATTTTAGAGGCACTGCACCAGGCAAGGATCCCTGATAACCTCTTGCAGGTTTTCAAGCAATACCTGTCCAATAGAAAGTTCATAGTAACACACACTGGCGGTGTCATAACCAGAAGCCAGACAAAAGGCTGTCCACAGGGATCGTGCGCGGGTCCAGACTTGTGGAACGCAACTTTCGATTCCATCCTACGATACGAATGGCCGTCCCATACCCAGATAGTAGCCTTTGCGGATGACGCGACCTTTGTGGTGGGCGGCAAGAGTAGAGATGAACTGCAGCAAAACTGCAATGATGTAATTGATACCCTCTCTCACGGCTATGTCAGGAGAAAAAGCTAATAATTTCTGAGGCAAAATCGAAATATATAATTTATCATAAGCCAGGCCAAACTTTAATAAGAAACCCAACCATCCAGCTTAATGGGAAGACCATCAAAAGGGTCAGAGAACTAAAACTCCTGGGTATTATATTGGATGAAAAGTTCACCTGGCTGCCTCACCTTAAAGCGCAAAGAGAAAAGGCTCGCCGAATCGCAAACAATCTGCAAAAAATGCAAGGCCCGCACTGGGGCCTTCGGCCCAATATCTACAAGATACTTTACTCCACTGTCGCGGAGAGGGTCCTAACCTACGGAGCAGCCATCTGGGCAGCCCCAATGACAGTCAGAAAGGCAAAATTGCTCAGTAGTGCACAGCGACCATTTGTCCTGGCCATAACGAAGACCTACAGGACAACGTCGACTGCGGCCGCTTCGGTATTAGCAGGGCTTATGCCGCTCCCAATCAAAGCGCAGCAAGAAGCCTCAATTGCAAAGGTGACGCAACTCCAACAGCCATGCACATATGGGGATACATGCTATCTGCCAGAAGTCTACGAAACACGCAGGTCCAAACTAAGCACACATCCGTCGGAATATGGACTGGGCATAAGGACTTTCCACTCACCAGCGTTAACCCCGCGCTTAGACGGACCAGGGGCCGTGCTTTATACAGACGGGTCAAAAATTGATAACGCTGTAGGCAGTGCCTATATAGCCTATATAGATGGAAACATAGCAAAGGAATGGAAGGGCCGTCTGGGCGCACAGAACTCAGTGTTCCAAGCGGAAGTAGTTGCCCTCACAAAGGCAGTGAAATGGGCAATTGACACACGGCAGAGTCGAGCTACGATATTTACTGACAGCCTGTCAAGCATTTATGCTATCAAACAACCCCTCTCCAGCGCTCCGCACTAATCTCGCACCTGCAAGAAGTCCTCCGTCTACAAGAAAAGTCAATGAGAATCCAAATTTCCTGGGTGAAGGCGCACGCCGGAATCCAGGGAAATGAAGCAGCAGATGCTCTTGCCAAGGAGGCTGCCCAAAATGAGGAAACGGAGCAGATTCAGGTGCCCTTGCCCCGGTCATGCCTAAAGAGGCAAATAGAAGAGACCGCCATTGGAAACTGGCAGAATGAATGGGACCAAATCCCGCAAGGCCGCAGAGCATATGAGTTCCTGCCCAAGATAGAGGTGGACCGGCTCATCTCAGCGCCCTACCTCACGCAATATATAACAGGCCACAGCCCCTTTCCGACGTACTTTGCAACTTGGGCTCACCAGACCATTATGTCACGGAGTGCCCCTTAACAGCAGAATGGCACATCAAATTCCCAACCACCAATGTTCTGCCTTTCAAACACCTTCTCGTAAAACATCGAGGCACGCGGCAAAAGCTTAAAAGCATAATTCACAAGCTAGAAAAATGGGCATAGACCTCTGCAGGCCGGAATAGGGCATATGCAATAAACATAATTGGCACAACGATTCTCAAAGCTTACTAAAGTAGCTAGGACAGCAATGGTATGTGTATCCGTAGTATGGAAATCCGTAGTATGGTAACTGTTTTTAGTTATCCACGAGCCGATGTGTTGTTAAAGGCTATTAGCACAGTAATGGACAATGCACATATAATACTGTAGATGTAACGAGGCATGTATTGAGCACACATCTGTTAAGCATCTTACAACTGTGAAGTCTCTAGATGGTTGCAGGGTCAGGGTAATACCCGAGTAGTCATAGAAAGCCGTCCGGGTGCCCTGTCCTGCTGTCACCTGTAAATATTTAGTCAAAATATAAAATTTCTATGTAATTAAATTTTTTTTTTCATTAATTTTTTTTTTTTTTTTTTTCTTCTTCTGCTATATAAAAAATCACCAAACTGCGTCAAAGTGGTTTTACTAATATTTTAGTACATAAATATAAAGTTTTAATTTTAATACCTTAATGAAATTGTGTTCAGAATTTTAAAACACTTTTAGTGTAATTTAGCATTTTGTTCAGTCTCAGTTTTTGTGTAATATTTGTTAAAATGCATCTACTTTTTTCCCTGTTGTTTTTTAAATATGAAATACCTTAAGTAATTTAATTTTATTCACCAAATAGTTAGTTTTCATTTATTGTCTGAATTATTCAGTGTAAAAACCTAGTAGCTTTGTTACGAACAAAGATTTTGTTTTTAACTTTACTTCTGATCAATTTGTATAGCTTGAACGTAATTTAGGAAACTTTCAAGAGTTGCTTTTTAGCCCAAAGGACATTAGCACAGAAGAGCTATTAATTTCATTTTGGCATTTTGCGTTAAAAACTTTAAATGACCATTTCATTTTGCAAATTGTTACCACCAAATATTACCACCCTGTGTTATATTTAAAGAAATTAAATAATGAAGAATCTGCATAAATGTATGTATGTTTTTTGCATCGTGATAAAACAATGATACCTAGAACCGTCAAGTTTTGAATAATGTAGTCCTCCACTTAAATATGGGCATCTGAAAGCCCAAATTTAGAATTTGTTTTATTATCTATTTCATGTTTTGTTAAAGGTTTATGAATTTTTTATTAACAAATTCAACGATTTCGAAGCGAGCAATGGTAACAGTGTATGGGGGCAAAAAATTTTTATCTCCAGCATGCAAGACTGGGTATCGGAAATTCTAAAGATATGCTCTTTTTAAATTACTTTGTTATATTGCTGCTGAATTGAATTTTATGGTTTAAATGGAAAGACATGATATATAAAAAATAAGGTAACCCACAAAACATTAAAAAAAAGGCCCCTTTGGGCGTAATGTAAAATCTGAAAAATTTATTTTGTTCTTTTTTCTTTATTATTATTATTATCGAGTGAATACAATTGCTATTATAAAATCTGTGTTTGCATTTCATAAAACAATGCTTTATTGAAGAAACTGTAACTCCTCTCTCTTATAAAAAAGCTTGTGCATTTATTTTATTAAACCAAATTTTGTTACTGTCTGGCTTCTGTTATTATAGTAGTACTTAAGAGCATGCTAAAGATATACAATTTAATTTATTTTTATGCAGGTTCTGGTAAACTCTCATTGAGAAAAAAAGATATTTCAAATTCAAACTATGATACTGAATGTTTACAGGATGATGATGTGGAAGTGGGAAAGGTCTCACAAATGGATTCAGGGATGGAAGTAGACTGTGGAACACATGTATGTATTTTTCAACTATCACATATTACTGAGTTAGAAAATTAGAAGCCTTAAATTTCTTTAATAGAAAAAACAACTAGAATTAAATAAAGTTATCTTATAAATTGTTTTTAAAAATAATACAAAGTGTAAATCAAAAGTTTGCAAAATTACCTTAAAAATATTTTAACTACATAGATGTCCTAAATTCTACATTTCTTTATGTAGAATATGAAATCTATTTATATTTTGTATTAACTCTTACTTCTGAATTAATGTGGCATCTGTAACATTTTTTTATTTTTCTAATTTTATGAAAATTAAATACTGTTTGTTTAGGAATTCCATAATACTAATGGGAGATTAGCATCTACACCAATAAAGAAAACTGGAAATTTAAATACTAAGCATATGGAAGATGTTGCTTCTGATCTTAGGTGAGAACGCTTTTAATAACATTTGTTATATTAATATTCTACTAGAAATTGCATTTTATATTTTCCACTATTATAAATTTTATATTTTATTATCTAGCATTGAAAATTTTGGTTTTAAGTAATTACTTGTAAGTTCATTTATTTTTGTAGCATTTTGTAAAAGTAAAAAATTTGCTTTTAAGTAATTATCCATAACTTCATTAAATTATAAAGTTTTATCTTTAAGTATCTCTTTCCTATAAATTAAATATATTTTAAAAATCATTTTTATCTCTAGACCTCTGAAAATTTTGTGTATGTACACACACATGCATATATATATATATAGGTATATAGATATAGATATGTCATAAAGGCAAGAAAAATGGAGCAGCGTTGATGCGTACGTAGATCCATATTGAAGAGGAAGACTTCTGATTGTGTAGTATGTTAATATTTTGAGATTATAATATCTAAGTAGCTTGGCAGTCAAGGCAGTTTTAATTCCATTTTTATTTGCAACTGACTTTTGTGGCCACAATCACTTGGCACTCTACTCGTGCCTTTTTACAGAACATTTACATATTTGATATTATTGCAATAGCAAGCAAGACAGGGAAGTTACATTCTAGCAGGGTAGAGAGTGAAGCTGAAGTGCATAGTTGTTTGATACGTAAGCATACAAAGAGAAAGGTCTTGGTTTGAGTTAAAAAGTTTTGATTTCCAATTATTACATCATCAGCACTGCGCAGGCCAAGAAAATTCAAATGATCTAGAAATGACACAATCCAGAGAAGGTATTACGATTTTTAGAACCGGGAGGGAGAATTAAAGAGTTAGTTTAAATTATAATTTTAATTCACATATTTTTTATCTTACATATTCCTTCCCTTCAAATAGAAAAAGGTTTGGCGACAGAAAAGCCTTTTTAGAAGACAGCATTACAGCAGTAGCAAAAGAAAGGAAAATACAATAGTGGAAAATTATCGTAGAATTTGATATAAATAATTTTTTTAAATAAAAAATCTTGTAAATATCAATTTTAACACTAAATTCAAATTGAAAATTCTGTTAATTTAAAAGTCTTCAAGCTCATTTTCCTGTGAAAATACTGTAAGGAATGTCCTAAATTTTTCAAGAAGTACTGGAAAAGTTCACAGTTCTTTAAAATCTCTGCTTAATAATAATCAATATTTTGCAAGTCTTTCATAAAAATTGATTTTTCCAATATAAAAACAAAATTTTCTTTTATAGATTCATGAAATTTGAATTAATTATTTATAAAATAATCCACATTTTCTTAATTGTAAAGCAATGTAAAATGAAATTTAGAACTTAATACTTATGTGTTGAAGTAAAAAATTCAGCACAATAGCAGTATAAACTTGGATGAAAATGGACAAAACCTCTACAATGCAAATCACCGTGACAAACTGCTTATGGATGTGGGATGTTTAAATACAATTACACATAGAAGCCCCTGTTCCTTAACAAAGGTAACTGGCTTCCAGTATTGTGTAATTATCAAAGTTTACATTGATAACTTATGGCCATAAAGATCAAACTAGTTAAATGAAATGAAAAACAAATGTACAAAAATTAAAGACATATTAAATTCTGCACTGCCCTACAATTATAATATGGACCATATATTTTTGTGAACATAAAATGAGAAAATAAATTTTATAGTTATATCTGTTTAGGGAAGGCTTTTAAAAACTTTTCAAATATAAAAATTTCAAACACATCCATTAATACTACAAAATCGCAAAAATTTTCAAAATAATGTAATTAAATTTTCATTTGAAACATCATTTGAAATAATATACTATTATTATCAAAATTTCTAATTTACTTATTTTGTACAAACTGGAAGACCCAGAGCTTTCTCCTAGTATACACATATCCAGATATTTGGGCAGTTACTTAGAAAGACCTCCGTTCCTTTTATAAGGTAACTGCCCTTTGTGAACTGCATTAAAACATTCCATTATATTAAAAAAAATTCACACTTCATTATATGAAAAAATAAAAGTCATATAAAAAATTAAATAAAGTGGGAGCCTTCAAAGTTTATCTGAACATATTATGATCCATAAATTTTGAAACTAGTTAGCATAATTCCACACTACTTATGCTCTTAATCCACTTTCTTGAATCACTAATATTTTCATACGTTATTTTGTACCAAAGAGCCTTCAAAGTTTATCTGAACATATTATGATCCATAAATTTTAAAATTAGTTAAAATAATTCCACACTACTTATGCTATTAATCCACTTTCTTGGATCACTCATATTTTCATATGTTATTATTCTGTTCTGTGCCAAAGTGTTTAACACTATCTGCAAATACTAATTTTTTCATAATTACTTCATTCACTTAAAAATTCTTATCAATAATTCAAAATTTTCATCATAAATTCAAAAATTACCTACCTTAATATCATTTCCTATAAATAGTTTAAATTTTGTTATATAATTTGCTCACACATAAAAAATTAAAATAATTAATGAACAAGAATTTAACATTTTCGCAAAAAACGAATTATCAAACTGCAGAAATTTTTAGCAAAATTGCAGTGAAAAGTATGGAATCCACAGTATAGTAAATAATTTTGTCTCGTTCTTGAGTTAAATTCACACGAAAATAACATTTTTTAGCTGTTGATTGACGAAGTACTATTAGAATAAGCGGAAATACAAATAATTTTCTGTCACACATACTTAAAGCAAAGCACAGATCATCGACCTTGAATGTATGCTGAATCTCCTTAAGCGATAATTTACTGATGATTTAAAGCTTTTTTTTTTTTTTTTTTTTTTTTTTTTTTTTTTTCCCCTAAATAGCGATGGCTGAAGCAATTTCAATATTCATTTTCACTAGACATTCAGTCTTCTGGATTTAATGGAGATTATTTTTATTCTATAAATACTATGCAAGATTATTTTTTGAAGCTCTCGCAAAACACCACAGCAGAAGGATGATAGGTTATTTTTTAAATACTGAAAAAGCAAATTTGATGATTCACTTGTTTCACATTGCCTTTGGATTTACCTCAAAATGATGATTTGAAGAGCTGAATAAATTTTCCATTGAGGTCTCAGGCTACTGGTAAAGATTCTGTCGGACTAATTGAAATGGTAGCAATGAAAAGACCGAGCATTGCATTGAAAATCTGGCCCTCATGCCAAATTATCAATAAAGACGAATGTTTTCTATACTTTTTTCCGACACTATATACACAATGTGTATAACTTCTTGCATCCTCTCTTTAGAGAGGAAGTAAGAAGTGATAGCACATGCCCGATGCCCCCCTAGGTAATACTCCTAACACCCCCTCAAAATTTTATATTTTTTATTTTATTGTTAGGAGAGTCAACTATGGTTATGAAAGTGGCTTGGGTTTTTGCATGTTTTCCATACCAGCCACTATCCTCTGACCATAGTTTAGCACAGAAGTGCTACCACACACACACCCATAACATACACATATAACATAAATATTTCACATAATTCTAGAAAAACAAAAATTATCTTTATTTTTCTTTCCTACATAATTCTGTAACAAAATTTTCTTTTCTTTCTTCTCTTAGGGTAATACTTATTTCTAGTTTCCACAATACTAAAAAAGACTTTAACTTGATCATACAAGTTATTTGTCTTAAATTTTAATTTTGTATGATTTTGTAATTGATTTTACAAAATACTTTGATACAATGTACAGTGCCCAAAACCAGTTACCTTTTATTAGGCTATTATAGGCAATAGAGGTTTTTTTTATATTTTGTACTAAGCACCCCCCAACCATCAGCAAATTTGTAGAGACATTAGGTATTTTTTGAAGCAAGAGAGATTGAGAAATTAGCAACGCCTTCACCGGGAATCAAACCGCGGACCTCTGGAATATGCACCCAGCATACATACCACTACTCCACGAAAGCTCGCTAAGAAAGCAGAAGTATCTTATAAATTAATTACGCTGATTTGTTGGAGACGACATGCCAACAATTTTCATTCAAGGTTTCATTCAATTTTCATTTAAGGTCTTATTACATCATATTATTAGAGATTTATATTGAATTGTCTTCTTAAGTTATTATATCATAATGTTTTGTATTGAATTTTTATATTGCTTTAAAATATGTCAATGTATTGTTAATTACCTATGATGAGAAGCATGAATGCAAGTAGTACATTGTGTATCATAAATTGTAGCATAAATTGTGTATCTTCTAAGTTTTATGTAAAAGATGTTCCCCACAAATTTCACAATCTTCTATTCAAAACTTACTTTGGAATCATCTTCATTTCAAAAAATGTTGTGGACTTATTGACATCAAAAGACTTAAAAAAGCATTTCATTTGATTTCAATTGTTTTTGTGAAAGGACTTAAAGATATATTAAATTCTGCACTGCCCTACAATTATAATATGGACCATATATTTTTGTGAACATAAAATGTTAAAATAAATGTTATAATAATATCTATTTAGGGAAGGCTTTTAAAAACTTTTCAAATATAAAAATTTCAAACACATCCATTAATATTACAAAATCACAAAAATTTTCAAAATATTATAATGTAATCAAATTTTCATTTGAACATCATTTGAAATAATATACTATTATCATCAAAATTTCTAATTTACTTATTTTGTACAAACTGGAAGACCCCACAGCTTTCTTTTAGTATACACATATCCAAGTATTTGGGCAGTTACTTGGAAAGACCTCCATTCCTTTTATACGGTAACTGCCCTTTGTGAACTGTATTACAACACTCCATTATATTAAAAAAAATTCACATTTCATTATATGAAAAAAATAAAAATCTTATATAAAAAATTAAATAAAGTGGGAGCTGTCGAAGTTTAACCAAACAAAACAAAAATTTCACTTTTCAATGGACAGTTTGAAGAAAATTGAGGACTTTGAGGACTTTTATGATTCTAATTTATTAGTTAGCATTATTTTTGCATATATTATTGTCTTATAGCTTTAAATTAGATGTTTAGT